AATATCATTAATATTTTAAACAAATCATTTAAATTTAATTAAAATACCCTATATTACATAATATATTATATTTTAAACTTTGATATTTTGTTTATTGTTTTATGGCTTGGTATTAATCACCAAATCTGATTAAAGTTTGACCTTTAAACATTAGTTTTTAATTAATAAAATAAACTCATTAAAATTTTGTAAATAATTCATGCAAATATGTTTAAAAATATCTTACAATTACAAACTTATAAGTTCCCTTATTATTGATTTCCTTGTTTTTGAGTGTAGATAATTCATTATTTATACTAGTTGCATACAATTTATAGATTGTGGGGTTAGGTTAAAATRTATTGATTATTTACCMGYTACCTTGCATATATATGATAATCAATAATTTGATGGTAAAAAAAGTTACTTTGTCAAAAAATTTAATTTATTTAAAGTTACCCTGCGTGATCAGAAATAAATGGTGACATGTTATCTTTAACTACATATATTGATATATTTAGCCGCTATGTAAAGAAAATTAATCAGAAAAGAATATCAGAACCCTATTTGTATCATATTTTTTATTTTTTTTATATTTATAAAATTACCGATTTTGTACTAATTAATTTTAGGTACGATTATTAGCTGATCCCAATGCAGAACTCACAAAAGCTTTTGATTTGGCCATTGACTTGCCACCATTGGGAGGCACTCGTTCCAAGAGATATTCAATGCTAATCAAAGATGGTAAAGTGGAACAATTAAATGTTGAGCCAGATAACACTGGATTGTCTTGTTCATTAGCAAATAAAATTGTTTTGTAATCTTCTCATTATTTTATTTTATACATTTTTTTTCTCCAAATTTATTTTATGTATCATTTAATAATTTAATATAGTGCTTTAACAAAATATATACTATTTTTTCGGTGCAAAAATTATAGATCTTTATTATTTAAATTTCAAATAATGTGTTCTTTTTTAATATGACCCAAAATTACTATGTATTTGTGTTGTATCACTATAATTCAAAATACACTTTAGTTAAATTATAATATAAATTTTATATTTTTTATACAAATAATAAATTAAATAATTTAGCTAACTGTAATAGGTGGATTAAAACTTACACCGTAGAATGATCACATATTATATCATTAATAAAAAAATATTTAATTTAAAATTAATAGTTAAAATTTAAATATTCTTTCCAGCAAGAGTTGACCATGGAACATTCTATTTTTAATATTTTACATTTTTTTAACCATATAATAGGATTTATAATTAACTATTTTTATTAAATGCCCAATGCTAAATAGTAATAATAAATGCAATAACAAATACTTAAAAATCATACTTGTGCATAACATAGATTTTTGCATATTTAATCAATACTTATAGATTGTACAGCAATAGTAATGATTCTGAATTTCTGATTATTGATAATATGATATAATATAAATGAATTAAAAATATTTTTATTTCAATGAATGCCATCGGATCACAAATAATAATTGGTGAAATTTTGTGTTTGATTAAATAATTGAATGCATATTATAGTATTATATACCCCAATAATATGTATTTGATGTCTTACCCAAGATTTTTTATTTTTTTTAAAGTTAATGAATAGTATGAATTATGGAAATCAGAATCATGAAATTTCTAGTTGCTGATAAGTGATACCATCAATGCTGTTATGTTTATTTATTTCGATGGTATGTTCTATGTTTAGAATTAGTTTTTTATTCACTTTTTTACTTTGTTTACAGAAGTTTTTCAGGGTGGATTTGAAAGAATCAACAAATAAATGTTAGACTGTCAGGACTTATATTGAYGAAATGATGACAATTCATCATAATATAATATTAAATATGGATAAAATTTTCAATATGACAATATTGTTTTTAAAACCAATTTACATAATATAAATACCAAGCATTATAATTACAAATATGTATTAAATAAAATTGCACTATGTCTGCTTCTATTGGTTTTGYATACATAATAATTGTAACCACCGGGCTAAAACAATTTACTCATGACTATGTTAGTGGTATGCTTGACTTGTGGTAAATTATTGATCCATACTAGAAATAATTTCTATATTATAATATGCCACTKCTAATACATGTTTTCAATTTTAATATGTTCTTGAAGACTGGATTCTGACTTGGTAAGAAATGTTGCATATCTATTCTGATGTAATAATGATTTCAAATAATAATTATAATATGTAGCTATGTTATTATATAGRAAATTTTAATTACTTTGTATATTATATTGTATTGTAGAAAAGAAAAAACACTCAAAATAATCAGCTATTCTCTTAGTTCAAGCACTGTGTCAATTGGTATACCTGCTGAATAATATTAATTAATAAATAATTTTAATATTTTGTTCGATTTTGTACTATTGAATATTTTAATTTGAATACTATTTTAGACGAGAGAAAATATTTAAATATATATTTGTAAGCCAAAAACATCGATTGATGAAATGAATAACGATTAATAATGGAAAGTAGTTTTATATTTTATATTGATTACAAGCAACTAGGCTACTTGCGTCTTGCATGYTAAAATATTTAATTGCCTATGCGTTATCACTAAAATATATTATTTATAGATTAGCTACTTCGACTTAAAAAATAAGTTCATGAAGAAGCAAAAGTCAGACCAACGCTTCTATAACTTACTGTCTTAGCGTTAGCAGATACCTCCAACAATAATCTACTATTACGAAATCTCGAAGTCCTTTAAATTCCTATCTTCTGACAACAAATCTAGGCGTCTCAAAAGAAATTATATAGTCAATGAGATATAAACTATAAATTGTTTATATGTATATCGGTATATTATGACAAATAAAGCCAACAAAGGTAGAAAAATTATCATTCCAAATTTCAAAAATTCATTGGTTCGAGTTTATAGAGTACCTAGATATCTGTAATCTGTGCAGTATCAGAGTGACAGACTAGGTTTTTTATTTTYGTTATATACTATTATAAGTAYATATTTGTTAAACAACAAATTTTGTCCGGAGACAATATTATGTTGCAATGTGTAAATATTATTAACATTGGGACATGGGATCTCTAAGACCATTATGTTAGACAAACGTTACTTTGAAAACATATTTGATGAAAATCATATTTCTAAGATTTTAATATAAAATTATTAAAATTTCTAATAAATYTTGTGTGTGGGAATTGAGACTATAATTATTATTAAAATTATGTTATCTATGGACTTTGACCACCTATGAATATTTTATTATTATCATTGAATATTGTTCTGTGCTTTTATGTTAAACCACGATTGTATCGGATCGATTGTAATCTGTATGTATACATAATATATATTATTATTTTGTAATTTTGGTTTTATAACTTATACGATTATATTTTTAAATGTACCTATATAATTTTTTTATTTTACTTTTACAATTTATGCTGATTAATAATTATCACATAAGAATAGATACTTATAAAAAAAAATTAGAAAATTTCAAATTCCTATATTAACAGTAAAAAATTAGTTTTAATATTTTAGACATTGTAATTTTGTATTAAAAATACTAAATACTAAATAGTAATTTAAATAATAGAAAATTGTTTCAATTTTCTGCAATTTATAGTTTTTTGGATTACAATGAAATAACAAAAATTGTGTTTCGTACCTAAATATTTAAATTTGTCGGTAATCTGTTTTTATTTTTCCCGCTAGTTAAAAAAAGCAAGGGTGAAATTGTACTTTAGATACTTGGTACTAGAAATATATCCAATTTTCTTTATGAATAGGCTAATAGTTGATGATATAACCATTTGTATTGCTTCAAATGAGGATAAAAGACAAAAGAAACACTAGGTACATTGATGCAATGCCAATATTAGGTTCCATTATAGTTAACAGTTTACATAGGTAACGTATATAAGTACCTCGAAACTAGGTATGCATTTTTGTGACGACGRTATCGCCATGGACCATGGTTGTAGTATACATCGACAAAATATTTTGTCATTTGTCAGATATTGGACACATGGGTCTTGGGGGAAAACTTGATACTTGGTAGGGAGTCTAGAGACCACCGAACATGTTCTGACTAAACATTTTAATCAATGCCACAATTTTTCAATCGTTTAAGTGTAATATTATAAATGTATAATACAACTAGGTACCTATATATAGTAACTACTGCCTAAAATTATTCTACACTGGSCCCTGGGAATTGCAGGGATTGAACGATACAGGACATATTGGTGTACTGTTAAGTAAGTAACAGTAGTAACACATTTTTATATTATATGTTATTATATAACCAGGAATCTAATCAGAGCTTAGAGACCTCGGAAATATCAGGTGACAGGTGTAGCCGTGTAGGATATAATTTTATTAATTAATATGCGTTTGTAGACTTATTGGAGTGGAAGGTGTATCTATATAATATATATATATATATAATAGCGTATAAATATCGTGTATTTAAGTCTATTTATTACTGTCGCTCAATAATAAAGACTATATAAAGCACAATATTAAAATATTTAACGCGATCTATGTTTAAATTCGATTACTATACATAATACATGACGTGCGTTTAACGGATACCTACACAGTACACAGAGACAACGGTCAATATTTTGGTGTCATTTGTTTGAGGTAGGTACTCAATACGCAGGGCCGTATAATAATAATAATATGTAAACGCGTATTTTATGTCTACGCAGTATCTACTATAATATTACTATGGGGATAATGGGTATACTTGTAATTTACGTTGTAGGCATAAGTATTGTGGAGGCGGTCCCAGGAGCCAATGGGGAATAGACGAGGGTCGAGTGCAGGTCAACTCTGTCGCTTCGTCGCGAATCGGGGCGATTTAATTTTAAAAATTTTAACTAGCAGAAATAGTATTTTGTACATTTATATTTATTGTTTCGTGTTGTATGCCGTTGTTGCTATCAGCAATTTGCTATAAAACAAAAATAATACGTCCAAGTTCTTATACGTATAGGTAGGTAGTCGATTAGTCGATAGATATATTATAAACATATATATAGCTAGGTATATGTGATGGGTTATAGTCTTTTGTAGCATTGATTATACATTTATATATAATATAATATGCATATTTATATATGTAATGCATAGTTTATGTACCTATAATGAATGGTTATAGCCCATAATAGGTATTGATTTTAACGCAGCAAAAATAGAATATATATCCTTATATCTAATAAATACTAAAGTACCTATATTATAGATGTAAAACTTATATTATTATTACCTATATAGTTATAAAATGTATGTATAACAACATCTAGGGCTTACTCGCTTACTATTTTGCTTAGTGCCCATATAGCATATGGCCGTTGCCCGTTTRCATGTAAGCCTGTCCAAGGTTTTTAGAGGATTTTAAGCATTCACTGCTTACACGAATACAGCTCAGCAATGTTGAATCCAGGTATACTTCAGGGGGGGAGTGGATGCCCCCCTGAAATTTCTTTCACCCCTCCTGACAAATACAACTTTCTGACTTTCAACAAAATGTACCTATTTATTAAATGCACAATACTAATTTACAAATAAATAATTAATATTTTCAATATTTATAATTTCTGAATTGTAATAAATTATAATAATACAATGTATAATATGTGACGACCTTAGATTAACCTTAGATTGATTTATAAATTGTAATAAGAATAACTACCTATTAATGGATATAATTCATTATACTAAAATGACGTATCACCATTCATCAATGAAAAAAAAATGAGCCCCTTCCCCCCAGAAAATTGTCTGGATTCAACACTGCAGCTCAATAATCATGGTTTGCAAATAAGTGACGAAAATAAGTCATTCTGATAAGGAAATCTG